AACTTCACTTTTCCCTGAACATTTCTGGCCAACAAGAACAATCCTGATGTCAGTGACTGGATGGCTCTCACCTGTAAAATAAACAAAAATTACTGTAATGTTCTTTTAATCTTAAGACACTCATATTATATGACTATACCATAAAATGTATAATATTTATTTCTTACCTCCAATCAGCTCATTCAGGACTCTTGTCTTTCTCTCATTGATCGTCTTCAACCTTCTGGCCATCTTGTCTCCAGTCTCTCTCTTGGTTTCTAGCTCTGCTGCTCGGTCCAGCTCCACTTCATAGTAAGGATCATCTTCATTTCCTGCCCACATCTCTTCAATCTTCTCCAGTAGTTCCTTTACCTGAGTCTTATCACTGTGGTCCTTGTTGTTCAGGACATGATACCTGTTCTCACACTTGTTCACTATCCACTGCAGACCTTCATCACTCTCTATTCGCTCCTCTAAAGTCTTCACTCCTAACCAGTCTCCATAGGTGAACAGAACAAGTGTGTGTTTCCAGATTTCTTCTCTAAACAGACTCATGTGTTCCTGAACAGATCTCAGATATGATTCATCAGTGTTGATCATCACAGGAACAACCAGCAGCACAGCATGTGGTCCTGGAGGACACAGATTCACACTGTTCTCTATTTCCAGTTTATCCATCTCACTGGTTTCCTGAAGGGTGTTGAAGCAGAACCAACCAGGAGAATCGACCACTGTGAGCCGCCTTCCTTCAACCAAACCATGACTGATTTCACTGTGGGTTGTTCTTCTGTCACCCTTTTTATCAATATTAAATATATTTTTTTCAAGAACGTGGTTTCCTGTTGAGCTTTTACCAGCAAATGATCCTCCAATCATCACTATTCTTAAATGGTCTGGAGGGACTTTTCCATCTAATCCAACAAAACAGAAAAAAAACAAAACAAATTATTTAGTTTACTCAATTTAAAAATGTGTAACTCAGTTTTACTTACAGCCATGTTGATAACACAGAAAAAAAAGAAACAGCTGCAAAGTTTTTAGTGGTTAAAAGAGAATGGTTAAAGTACACAAAAGGTAAATCTATTGCATGAATTGTGTGATTTAGATAATCTTATGTAACTTTTGTGTCTTATTTTACTTTAGAAGTGCCAGTGAACTGTTGAAAGATTTAGTAAAAGAAAGGAAAAGTGATTGTTTTTACACTTTGTCTACTTTCTCTAGCTCTATGTTGGTTTTCTGTTTCTGAAGCCTTTCCCTGAAAATAATCATACAATTTTGTTTGTTTTACCAAGAAACAATAAAACTGCTTTGCATCTTAAATCTGATTTAAAGTTTATTTTCTTCAAGTGATTCTCAAACATTTTCCAAAAGATAAACTTCAACAATGTTATGCTGAGTGTAACATGTGATGTTCTCATAGAAGATGTGAATGGTTATTGAATCTAACTGAATCTATTATTATTGCTAATAATAATATTCTAATAATGTCTACTACAGACATAATAATTATTATTAATAACAGTATTATTATTAATCTATCATTATTGATGACTGAATCTAAATTAACCTACGACAACATTTAATTTNCCATCTCACTGGTTTCCTGAAGGGTGTTGATGCAGAACCAACCAGGAGAGTCGACCACTGTGATCCGCCTTCCTTCAACCACACTGTGACTGATTTCACTGTGGATTGTTCTTCTGTCAGCCTTTTCATTAACAGGATATTATTCTCATTATTTTCAGTGTATTTATGTCTTGGGTTTATGTGTCCTGTTCTCCTGTGAGTCTGTTATGTCCTGTCCTCCCTGTTGATTGATTCCCAGCTGTGTCTCGTTTCTTTGATTACCCTCCCAGTGTATTTAGTCCCACCTGTTGTCTGGGTTTCTTGTCTGATCCTCGTCTTACATTGTGTAATGTCTTGTTGCCTGTTCGTCTATTCTGTGCTGGAGCGCTTTCGGATTTATTATTAAATCATCATCATCATAACCTTTATCCTGGATCCTGTCTGCGTTCTCCTTAATTTCACCAAACCCCAAATCATGACAAAGATTTGTGTTGAAAATTTAACGAAACAATTTTCTTGATAGATGAATCCTGAACCTAAACTACAACAAGAAAATAGAGGCAAAAAAAAATAAAATTTGCCAAGGGCAAGACATAAAAGGTACATAAAACATACCGAAATAAAATTACTCATTATCTGTTAAACTATCTTTTAGTTTTCTCTCTGACAACAGTGAACTCAGCTTTGAAAAAAAAAAATCCAAAAGTTATTTAGATGCGGCTCACTCTGCATTATACGTAAAAGTTCCTTAAAATAAAACAATTTCTCTCAGAAAAAAAACAGCTGGACCCAAACAGTAAGTGCAGCATGTCACAACACACACAAATAAGAAATATACCGTTCAACTAAATAAAAGCATAAAACTCTAACCACCAATCAACTCTTAGCCATTTACAGTATCCCATTCACTAATGTCAGTTTGGTAGCATAATTTATTTTTTCACTCAATTTTAAACAGTTATAGTAGCCTAGGATAGCTACACTGACAACATGCTAAGCAACGTTAAAACAACAAAGGGTGCGTTCACACTGCAGCCTGAAGTGACCCAATTCCGATTGTTTTGCCGGGCCGTTCACACTGCCAGTAAATGCGACCTGTATGCGTTCTGCACTGTGAACGGTCAAATGACCTGAAAGTGTCCCGCATGCGCAATAGAGGGCGCAATAGCATCAGCATTCTAAGTGTTCTGCCAACCGCCAAAGAAGAAGTGCTCAGTGTTTACGTAAACATGGAGGCTAACGGTGGAGCTTAGCTTGCACATTTGAAGTTGTTGTCCAATCGTAACGGTATATTAATAATTTAATCCTCATTATAGTCCGTCATAGTTGTTTTTCTTCCCACTTGCTTGAATCAGGTCGCAGAATTTGTTTAGTATCAGTGTCGTTCAGTTCGGATGAATGCGGCCTGGACTTAAGGTCGCATTTGAATCGGATATAGGGTTGCCACCTTTCAGAAATCAAAGTATCCGCTGCAGTGATAGACATTATTTTATGGGAGTGTTTTTTGTCTTTAAAAAGTGATCCATAGAGCAACTGTTCATGCATAGAGGTCAGTTAGAGTACCCCAAAACTGTACTCCAATCAGAGTATTATACTTTAAATATGTTAAAGCAAGTGTAAAAAGTATTTGGTAAACCACTGAGTAACTGATCATAACACCTGATTTAATATTCAAAATGTGTCTTTAGACAACTAAAAGTATAAAGGTTATGTGAACATTCTGATATTTTACAGAGTATTACCAAAATATTTATATAAATAATGAGTTAGGTTTGAAGGCTGGTTCTAGACCAGATTTACCACAGGGGTCAGGATAGTCAGTGTTTTTCCATGGCAACACTTGAAAAAGAATGAAACAAACAAACAAAAAAAAACAGCAATATTTCATCATTTGATATAATAAGTGAGCAAAGACCCACTTGAGTCTCCATGGATTCAGTTTGCAGATCCCTGGCAGATGGAAAGTGTGATCCTATCTCCATACAGCAGCTAAAAGTTCAGCACTATAATTTTTAATTCATTGTTAAAGTAAAATTGTGAAGGTTAAAAAAATCCACCACTGAGTATTAACATAAGACATTTATTTAGTATAACTTCTATGAATCAGCAGAAAGTGTGTAAAGTTCACATCATAAACATTAGGATAAAGCTAATGCCTTCTATCAGTGACTTTTTATTTGTTTGCATAATTTCCAGATTATTGAGCACACCTGAATATAAAAAATTGCAAATTGCCCGTACCTGTCTATAAGATGCAGGTGCCCACATTGTAACATGAGATATTCACACAGAATTATGTTACAGAGAAACTTTTTTTGTTTGTTTTTTAACTTTTAATGAAATGTGAATTGATAACATACACAAGATGTACTGTAAATGTTTTATTTCTTTCTTTCTTTCTTTTTTTTTTTACAAATACTGCCTGCAACATGGCTTATAAAAAGAAAAAACAAATACAGTAGTTGTTGCTCTCAGTGTCAGTTTTGCCTTGAGTCAAATTTGCCCTTGAGCCTCTGCTGTCCTCTTCATCATGCAGCACTTCAGCCTTTCAAAACCCAAATGAAATAAGCATAACATTAAAACAAACTTAAATTTTTATACGATATTACAAATCTAAATTCAGAGGACTCCCTCTATAAAGAATGACTTTTACTTTTATTTATTTTCCTCAACTTGTGGTATAACGGGAAGAAATTGTTTGATCTGATTTGGATTTAAACATTCATAGATTGAAACAAAATAAATGATAAAATACCTGAAAAGGCTTGTTTAATTTAGAGGATTAACATTGTCAAGTTAAAACAGCAAATGGTACATTTGTGATTGCATTTGCTATCTCCACCCAACTGGCACACACATCACAGAGAATCAAGCGCACCCATCCCTTTCATGACTCAGGCCCATCTGAAGTCTATAAGGTAACTTGACACACCTGGATTCACAATGGTCTCTTCAGACAAAGAACCTCAGCTTCAAGCTTCCACAAAGACACCACTGGTAGGAACTGGACATTATGCACAGTTTATATCATTTAATCTGCAGTCAGAAGACCAAATTAGCCTTGGTGATGCAATGGGTTTTATGTGTTTGGAATGTAGTTTGTTTGTTCATTCACTATTAGCTTAAATGTAGATTGTTAACATTACCTGGAAAACTAGTTAATTAGTTTGTTGTGATCTGTAATTGACTTTTTTTGTTTGTTTGTAGGTTTTCAACCTGCTCTGTGACTTCTTTGTGATTACTCTAACTGCTAATGCAAAGTCATGGTGGTCTTACACTGTCAATTGAAATACTTAAAGACTTAAAAAAAAGATAAACAAAAGATGTTGCTGAGATGAGTGGTTCCTGCATCTCTTTGAGGGAAGCAAGCTTTTTCAAGTTTGGGCAGAAGCTGAGGTGGTTTAAAGAGGGCAGAAACTTGACAACCACTTTTTTATAATTTTAATGTCAGGCTTCAACATGAATTTAATCTTTCTGCCTAAACATATTCCAACATTGACTGACTCATATTTTGCTATCTGGGAACTGTTTGAATATTACTCTTCTAGTGTCGGTATGCATCAGTTTTTTCTAACTACTTAAAAAAATACTTTTAAACAAACCTATGTGAGAAATGAGTCCTTTGTTCTTATGCTGAAATTGTTTTGGCTTTAGTCAATTTGGGAATTTTCCTCCAAGTTTTCCATATAAGTGTTTGAGGAACAAAAGCTGCCGATCCCAGAGCTGATCTTTGACTCTCTGAGTCTGCTATTCAGCCATTCAGCAACTTGGTCATGTCTTCGTCGTTTCCTTTTTTCTGAAATGCTCCCATATTCTGAGGCAACATCTCCACTCACTGAAACAGACATTGATGTGTTATTCAAGAGAACAAAGCATGTAAGAAAGACAGGAAGTTAAACATTAATAAATAATTATATAAAACTTACTGTCAGGAATATCACGATCATCTTTGCTCCATGCTGTTCTCACATGAGGTTCTGTTGGTTCTTCTGGTTCCTTTGATAAAGCTTTCATCATTCTCTCTATCAGCTCCTGTTCTCTCCTTTTCCATTCCTCTTCTATCCCTTTTTCTTGCAAACGTAGAATCTGAGATTTCTTTTCTTTGGCTTTAATTGTGAAGCATCCTCTGTTTTGTTTTACAATATCAAAACATTTTTGGAACATGTCTTTGATAGGAACAGGGTCTTGAGAATGATAAGGGTTTATAACATGGTATCTGTTCCCACATTTCTCCAGAAGCTCCTGGAGCTCCTTTCCCTCTCTGACGATGTAATTCTCTACAGGGACGTCATTGATCCAGTCTCCCCTGGTAAACAGCACTATGCAGTGTCTCCACACTCTCTCTGTTAATGGCTTCATGATCTCCAGCAGAGCTTTGAGATCTTTCTCTGTGAAAGATCTGAGGATGGGAACAAGCAGGAGAAAAACATGAGGTCCAGGAGAACACATGGAGACACTGTGGAGAACTTCATCTTTGATCCAGTCAGGTGGTGTTGGGTCTGAGAACCAGCCTGGAGTTTCAACAACTGAGACTTTTACTCCATCAAAGTTTCCTTCATGTTTCACACATGTTGCAGATTTATCATCTTGGTAATTCTGAAATCATAAAAAACAAAACTAATCTAATTTTGGACATCCTTTACTCTCTGAACATACATAGTCTATATTAGACTGTATGACATGTTGGTTAGCCTGCATGTTGTTACCTTTTTCAACCAAGCTCTGTTAAAAGTTTTATCAAATTTCTCATTGAAAAGAATCATGTTTCCAGCTACACTTTTCCCTGAACATTTCTGGCCAACAAGAACAATCCTGATGTCAGTGATTGGATGTTTCTCACCTGTAAAACAAACAAAAAATACAGTAAATATGATCTTAAAACATTTATGAAACATGACTACAACATAAAATATATACTATTTATTACTTACCTCCAATCAGCTCTTTCAGGACTCTTGACTTTCTCTCATTGATCTTCTTCAACCTTCTGGCCATCTTGTCTCCAGTCTCTCTCTTGGTTTCTAGCTCTGTTGCTCGGTCCAGCTCCACTTCATAGTAAGATTTTTCATTTCCTGCCCACATCTCTTCAATCTTCTCCAGTAGTTCCTTTACCTGAGTCTTATCACTGTGGTCCTTGTTGTTCAGGACATGATACCTGTTCTCACACTTGTTCACTATCCACTGCAGACCTTCATCACTCTCTATTCGCTCCTCTACAGTCTTCACTCCTAGCCAGTCACCCACAGTAAACAGAACCAGTGTGTGTTTCCACATTTCTTCTCTAAACAAATTCATGTGCTCCTGAACTGATCTCAGATGTGATGCACTCATAGCAGTCGTCAGATCAATAACTAGCAGCACAGCATGTGGTCCTGGAGGACACAGATTCACACTGTTCTCTATTTCCAGTTTATCCATCTCACTGGTTTCCTGAAGGGTGTTGAAGCAGAACCAACCAGGAGAATCGACCACTGTGAGCCGCCTTCCTTCAACCACACCGTGGCTGATTTCACTGTGGGTTGTTCTTCCACTAGATTTAGAAACATAAAAGTCATTTTTTTCTAGTATGGTGTTTCCTGTTGAGCTCTTGCCAGCCAATAATCCTCCAATCATCACTATTCTCAAGTGGTTTGGAAGGACTTTTCCACCTAAACCAACAAAACAAAAAATGGAAAAATTATTCAGCTTCAATTTAAAAGAAGCTTTGCACATACGCTTTATTTAGAGTAGGAGTCATTACACAGGAAATAAATGAATCAAGCAGTTGCAAAAGTGAAAAAAGCTATTTTTTAAATTTATTTTTATTAAAACCTATGGGCTCTTCTCACATCAGCTTCCACACTCGGGGATAAGCGGCTCAGCCGCTTCTGGTCAATTGAAAACGGCATTTTACACTAGGTGCTTGCAGGGCTTGCCCAAGGTAACAATTAATGATGCACATCGATCCGAAGCTCCAACAAGTAAGCTGGGGAAAGGTTTTAAGATTTACACCTCGTTTCAAAACATTCACGGATACGAAGGTGAGTTTTACTTTCTTTAAACGTTGACTAACTTTAGCTTATGCTAGCTAGTAGGCAACATTCTCGGACATGTTCATTGTAAAAATGTGCTACTTGAGTATCAAAATATTTTCATTCTAACGAACAATGTTTTTCCCTTATTTTGTGTTTATTTTGCGGTAATGTGGGTTTGCAGTCGTTAGTGTCAGAGACCAAGTAACTGGGGAGATGACGGTTTAGGCTTTTTGCTTCCTAAGCATGAGGAAGCACAACAGGCCCCATAGCTTAAGTAGGGAAGCACTGGTCAACTTAAGCTTTGACTATTCAGGTTCAAAGTTGTTGCTTTAAGAAAAATGTGGCAGTGTTCCTTAATGTCTCCATGTTATTTTGTTTATTACTTTTGCCTGCATCTTGTGAGGAGCTCAAACAGGACCGTGTTTACAGCAGTGTTTACTGGCGGATCAGTTGCTCGGCTGTTTCTAGTCTGCTCACTTGTTTCCATACATTTGCTCTTTCAGGCTGAATACAGAAGTGATTCCATGGAAATAACTCAGTGATGGCTCATTTATTTACCATTCGTCTCCCCCCCTGGTAGTTTTAGGTTGAAGAAGCTGATCCAGAGTGAAGTGAAGTCTGCAAACTTTGGTGTGCAGCTTTAGCTTAAACTTGTAGCGACGAATATTTACAAGCCACCGACTTCTTAATTCAGGATCGCTTGGAAATCCATGAAAACTTAAAAGCCCATTGTTTTTGGAAGACAACAAGGTTCATGGTGTTGCTTTATTTGCTTCTGAAATACGACTTTTGTCGTTGCTGTCATGGCAACTCAAAGCGGAAGCAAGAAAGCCGCATTTCGCTCATGCGGATGTGAAGTCGGCGCAAAGAACCCATCGGTATTTAAAGAGAAGGCCAACAAATACTGAGGTGGTGAATCTATTGCATGAATTGTGTGATTTTGATAAATTTGAGTAACTTGTTTTTTTTTCTTTGCAGCTGCCAATGAACTGTTAAAAGATTTCAGAAAAAAGCAGATTTTTTTTATTTTTTACATAATACTTGATATATAATATTTGATGTTTCCTTTCTTTAAATGAAGCTCAAACGCAGTTTGAGCTTCCAAACTCTGGTTGACCTGATGCAATTACCCACAAACAGAATAAGGAATACTGCAGCTTTATAAATAAAGTTGTAACCTACCTTCAATCTGTAGCTTCAGTTTGTTTCTTTGTTTCTGGACTTGATCAAACCTTTTTGAGGCTCTTTCAGTCAAATCTCTCATTTCTTTTCTCAGAGTTTCTCCTTGACTTCTGTCAACAGAACAGTGTCTGAATCCATTGTTTGTAATCAGGGTCTCAATTTTCTCTAAAAGCTTCTTGACTTGATCTCTATCTTCTCTGTTACTGATGTTGAGAAAATGTTTTCTGTTTCCACACTGTTGAAGAATCCACTGCAGGACTGGATTTCTTCTGATCTTAGATTCTACAATTTCATCACTACATGGATCGACTGAAGTGAACAGAACGATGGTGTGACTGAAAACATCTGCATTTAAAAACTCCAAGTGCTGCTTTAGTGATGCTTTGGCTCGCTGAGAGAAATATAAACTGACAGGAATGACCAGCAGAAAGACATGAGGTCCTGGTGGACACAGATGGACACTGTTCTGGATTTCTATCTGATCCAGTTTTGGAGTTTCTTCTTTAGGCCAATTCCACCACCATCCTGGAGTATCAACCACTGTGACTCGTCTGCTGAACACTTCCTGCTGCCTCGCTTCACTCTGAGCTGTTCTTCTGCTGGTATTGAAAACATTTTGACCCAGGATGAAGTTTCCAGCTGAACTTTTACCACTGGGAATTGCATCTGATCTTCCTCCAATCAACACAATCCTCAACTCTGTAGCAGGTTGGCTTTGTGCTGTAAGGAGAGAAACTGTGTTATTTGGATACAGTTCAGAAACACCTACTTTGTTTAGACCAGCAGAGAAGGTACTTTCTAATTTCACTGTATGTTGCTATTGGAAAACTTGTATATACAGTAATAAATACCAATAACAGTAACACAAAATATACTTAAAATTAAAACTACAAAAGAACAACATGAAAGTCTTTGAATTCAATTCATTCATCCAGTAAAATTTGATTTTATAAAAGCATAATCAAATAAAGGAAAACATTTAAAGAGGGTTTTATAAAATATATGACTGACCTGAGCTGGAAATATCCATTGAAGTAGCCATTTCATTAGCTTCACTCTGCCGATGTCTCTGCTTGTTCCCACAAAACTTTATCTTAAAGTAAAGTTCAAAGTTTGAAGTTGATGTGGTTAATGATTAGTTGGTTAAGTCAGGGATCGCCATCTGCTGGACGACTAAGTTAAATGCATTTCTACTTTGACAACCTAAAAGGAGCCATAGTATAATAAAACTGAAAATTACCAAATAAAAACTTTTATCAATCAACACAAAATAAATGGACTGGCTCAAATAAAACAGGAAAACAAATGTTTTAGATAAATGATCCTGTGCCCTTCCTCTGTCTCTTTTATCTTGCCACTTGCACACTGCTGTATGTTTACATAACCTTAACATTTAAGACTGCTGCTCATCTTCTGTGTTAAACATAACAAAAACTGATTAAGCAGGTCAACATCGCTTAGAAAGGGAGCAGAATGAGAAGATAAAAGCAGAACTCGTGCTACGATCTTTACTTTACTTGGTATCAGCCATAAGGTGAGCTAAGTGGGCCCAGTGCTGAGCAGTGATGTCATAAAACTGAAGGGTTTTGATTCAGTCCAGGAAATGGAAAACAGACCTGAGTGATGCACAGCAGGGAAAATGTGTTTATTACAACATAAACATTTACTAGGAGAATTTGATCTGTGCAAGTAAAAGCTGAACAGGACTGATTTGACATTTGAAATGAACAATTTAAAGAAGTTAAAACTCTTTATGTAGACAATAAGATCTATCATTTGTTATGAGGTTATGCTATTTTAGCTGCTTTTTTGTTGATCCACTTTCTGTTCAAACTGTTATTTTTCACACACATCAGTTTGCTACTATATTTTTAATTTTAGAGTTTACTCATTTAAAATGTTCACTGATATTAGAACTTTTTGCAGCATGAATCAGTTTTAGACATATGGATGTTGCTGTTGATAGCAGCTCAGTTTCTGTGTCATGTTTTATAAAATTAAATAGGAGAGAAAAAAGATTGAAGCAACTGGCTGAAGTGATCAGTAAAACTATTGGTTCTAAATTACTTGATAGCTCCATATCTCTTCATTTTTAGGTATTAGAATCAAACACTATCACATTTACTTTACAAAGAAAAAACATCTAAGACCAAAGTTTTTACTTTCATGCATATTATGTGCGAATTCTAGAAGAATCACACAGATCTCAGTGAGCTCAAAACAAAAACAGATCATTTTTAATAAAGACTGACAGAGAACAAACTCAACAAACAAAAAATAATAAAAAGAGGCAACAGATGCTGCCCAGGGTCTTGGATGTTTGGAGAGAACGAGTCTTTACCTCTAAAAGAGTCTTTCCCAAAAGACTGAAGACAGTATCTGATTTCTAGATACTGATTTCTGAATCAGTATTTAGAAAATACTGATAGATCTACTGATATATAAAATATCACTTTTTAGCTTGAGTTCTCCATTTGATGATAAAGTAACAGTATGTTTTTAAATAAAACAAAAAAGTCTAGAAACCTCAAGTCTCAGGTTGAGCAACAAGCAAATCGAGACATTATGAGATAGTGGCAAGAACAACATATTACATTTGAAAGTAATTTAGAATAATCATCTAAATTACTTTCAAACACAATCTCTCTATACTATCACAATTTTAATTCTGATTTCTCTGTATTTATAACGATAACGAGACTTTCTCTGCCAGCTGGACTTTGAATCTATTCTGAATTGACCTGCTGGTGTAAATGGGAAGTAAAAAGTTTCACATCTGAAGATAAACTTAAACATCAGGGAGGCTCAAATTAACATCTGGTCTTCATGTAGAATGTTTTAATACTAGTAATTGATATTCAGGGTGTTTAGTTTATAAATTATAATGAATGTTACTCAGATCTCCAAGAACAAACACTCAAATATTTATGAACTTTAATTTCAGTTTTAAGGTAAATTAATTTTAATTACAAGGCACATTTTCAGCAACAATGCATTTCAAAGTGCTTTACATGAATTAGAGAAAATACAAACAAAACAAAAAAACAGAAGAAAAGCAAAAATAAAAACAACAAAAGTTATAATCTAATATGAGTTTCTCTAGATCTTAGGAGTGAAATATAAAACTTTTCTGGATAAGAGTTTTAAGAGTTTGTATCAAACCAAAAGAGATTCTTGACATCTCATTTGTTCCTTACATGCTTATGTTATCAGTGATAACATTAATAAGATTTAAAACAATGACATTAAAGCTTAAATATCCAAACTAAATTCTTTAGTTAGAAAAATTCACTCTGAATACAAGCAGATTGATTGTAGCTCTAAAGCTAATCTCAGAACCAGTTTCTATTTACTGCTTTGTCTTTAAAAAAATATTCATTTAACCTTTTAATGATCTAATATTTCTGTCTAATAAACTTCTTGAACTTTAATTATCAAGCTTTACAGAAAACAAGATGATGAGTTTTTGTTTTAATCTTCCAGTAGGCTACATGAAAACTTAATGCATAATAATTAATGAATAAGTAATAATTTTACTGTTTAATCAACTATTTACTACATTTCCTCTCCGACGCTGGTTTAGTAAAACAAAATAAACCTTTGCAAATATTAACAATGTATAAAAAGGTTGGATTAGATCTATATAAGCATGATGAAAACTAGTTAAATATTTAAGTGTTAATATTTATAGAAATACCTAAAATGTTTTTATATCAGAAAATAATTTGAAACCTTTTGGTGATATTTTAGAAACTCATCTAAGCTGATACTTTGTTCTTTTACTGAATTGTATGTTGACTTTAATCAATTTCAGAACTTTCATCAAAATTTTCCATGTAAGTGTTTGAGGAACAAATGCTGCCGATCCCAGAGCTGATCTCTGACTCTCTCACTTTGTTATTCAGCCATTCAGCTACTTGGTCATGTCCTCGTCGTCTCCTGTTCTCTGAAATGCTCCCATAGTCTGAGGCAACATCTCCACTCACTGAAACAGACATTGATGTGTTATTCAAGAGAACAAAGCATGTAAGAAAGACAGGAAGTTAAACATTAATAAATAATTATATAAAACTTACTGTCAGGAATATCACGATCATCTTTGCTCCATGCTGTTCTCACATGAGGTTCTGTTGGTTCTTCTGGTTCCTTTGATAAAGCTTTCATCATTCGCTCTAACAACTCCTGTTCTCTCCTTTTCCATTCTTGTTCTATAAGTGCCTGTTGTTTTGGTGGCCAATGGAGACTGATACATTTTTCTGTTTTGCCTTCAACTGAGAAACATTCTTTGTTTTGTTTAACCATATCAATAATTTTTTGGAACAGTTCTTTGACTTGAATAGAATAATCAAAAATAATTTTTTTAGAACATGGTATCTGTTCCCACATTTCTCCAGAAGCTCCTGGAGCTCCTTTCCCTCTCTGACGATGTAATTCTCTACAAGGACGTCATTGAT